CATTAATACAAACTATTTATATTTAACGAACATATTTTTATGGATCAACACTTCTTTTGATTGATGTAAATGATAAAAATGAAAGATAACAAACATTGAAAGAGAAGAGTTAGTGAGGTAAGGATAATAATCAAAACAATAATGAAAATAAAAAGTCCTACCCCACATGATATCTACCCCACATGCTTATTATTCATACCCGGACATGATCTCTATCCCGCAAGTTGATTTTGAACAAGTCCTACCACATAAATTTCTAGTTCACATGCTCTGAACAGAAAATAAAGTAGGAAATAATCTCAAAATAGCCTATGGTTTGAAATAAGGTTTTAAGGTGGGCTCTAACGCCTTGTAGTCTCCCGATTTAGGTTCTAAAGAAGGTACCCGAGTTGTCCTTGTCGGTGCCCCCTTGGGCTTGCCAAACCCTTAGTCCTAAGCCCATTACAAGCTTGTGTGGACTAATTTAAACTCGAGAGGATACATTCCCTTGTGTCTATACGGAGAATAAATTCACACGAAGACGTAAGGTATATGAATCTCGAAGGCTACTTGCTAGGCCTATGCGGAGAATAAATTCTCACGAAGGTGTCGCTTTCACCCCTACTTAAAAGGGTTCAAAGCTCGGGTATAGAGCCAGAGATGAAAACTTTTTCAAAAATCTGAAATCATTGAAAAAACATCAGTATAACTATTTATTTGAAAAAATAATCAAAGATAAACAATAAGAATTGAATAAATAAATTAAAATTTAAAGTTGTAATTTTCTCTCAAAAAGACAACCGAAAATTAATTTCGGCCTGACTGACTTACCTATCCCTAGCAGAGTCGCCAAGCTGTCGCAGTTGTCTTTCGGGTGGGCCCGGAATTGGGTTTCGACTTGAAATAAATGTGTTAGAGGTGCCACCGATCATTTAAAAATAATGTTTAGGTTGATCGGACACCATCTTACTTGATCTGTGTTTTACAGGATTCGGGAGTCAGTTACAGTCAATGAATGATTAGCACCCTTGTACTGCCCTTTCGGTACCAATTAATTTGTCGGTTGTATTAATTGCGAAAAATTAAAATTAAAATTAAAATTTAAAATTCGATTCAAATTACTTACCTTTGATTGGTTGAAAGTATCCCTAAAAAGTCAAAAATGTTAGATAAGAAATAATAAATAAATATTAAATAAATCAAAGAAAAAATAAAATAAAAATAAAAAAATGAATCAAAGGAAAAAGATAAAAATAAAAAAATATTAAATAAATCAAAAGGAAAAATAATACAAAAATAAAATAAAAAATGTTAAATTTTAAAAGTAATAAAAAATAATAATAAGAAGTAAAATACAAATAAAAAATAAAAAAATACTAAAATTAAAAGAAAAAAATGAATAACTAAAATAAAAAAATGCTAAAATTAAAAAGGAAAAAGAAAAAAATAATGAATAACTAAAAATTTAAAGGACCAAATTGAAATAAATTGAAATTGATGGATTAAATTGGTATTAAAAAATAAGTTGCAAGAGAAAAATAAAAAAGTTATGGGGCCAATTTGCAACATATAAGAAATGTAAATAGGGATTAAATTGAAATAATTGAAAATTCTGAGGCAAAATTGAAGCAGGTGACCAAAATGAATTACACTTCAAAGTTGGAGGGACTGTGGAAATAATTTAACTATTTACTAATTACACACAAGTCTCTTGGCTATATATAGCCAAAAAAACCAAAAAAAATATCATTTACAATCAAAACCGAAAAAAAATTCAAGCCTCTCCAAAAACCTCTCGCCCAAAACTGACCGGCTGATGGTCGATCACCCTCCTCGGCCACTCTCCGTCGCCCGCTGTCGCTCTGGCCACCACCTCCGATGGTCGGAATAACCAAAACTCTCTCCAAATGTTCCTCTCGACCCCGTGAACCCAAAATCGACCCTCAAACCCCAAAAAACACCTTACTCGACGTAGATCTAACGAGCAAGTTTCAGGTTTTCACCTTTTTCTAAGGAAAATGTTTCGTTTTCTGGCGCTTTTCCTCCGATGTTTTTCTTTCACAACCCTCGTTCCTTTTTATAAGAAAAGGCCTCAGCTTTTTCTGTTTTTGTTGGTATTTGGGATGGTTTTTGTATGATTTGCTCTTGTGTTTGCTTTGATATTTTCTACTGTATTTCAATCCTTTTTTTCTCGTGTTCTCTGTTGGTTGTGGTTTCGTTGTTGTTCAATGTTTTCGTTCGGCTCCGGTGTGATATTTATATAGCCCCCAATGGGGTTATTTTCCATTTTCTTCGGGGGCCGTTTACTCTCGTTCCCCGATTAAATCGGGATGGCTGGTTATTGCTGAAGACCCGAGATAGTTCAGTCCCGTTGGTTGTTGGTGCGGCCGAAAAACTCGGTATGGGCCAGTCCTGGGATGTTCGACCGGAAAAACGCGCGCTGCTTATGCGGTGCCTGACTTCATATGATAGGGTTTTACAAACCCTAACCTGTACTAGGTTGGTTCATGCCCAAACCGGATTGGATTTCAACTGGACTCATTGGACTTTTAAAAAAACAACAAAGAAAAAAATATAAAAAAATATTAATAAAATAGTAAATGAAAATAAAAAATATTAATATAAAAATATTTTAAAACTATATATTATATATTTTTTTTAAAATGTTTTCAAAACTATATTATATATATATGTATTTTCAAAATGTTTTCAAAAACTATATATTATTTATATTTTTTCAAAATATTTTCAAAAACTATATATTATATATATTTTTCAAAATGTTTTCAAAAACTAATGTTTTTTTTTAAATGATTTCAAAAACTATATATTAAATATATTTTTTCAAAATGATTTCAAAAACTATATATTATATATATATATTCAAAATGTTTTAAAAACTATATATTATATAAATTTTTTTCAAAATGTTTTCAAAAACTATATATTATATATTTTTTCAAAATGTTTTTAAAACTATATAATATATATTTTTCGAAAATGTTTTCAAAAACTATATTATATTAATATATACTAAATAAACCCCGAATGAAAATGGATGTTTACACACTGTCATGCTAAAAGTAATGGAATCTCATAAATTGAGAAATATAAAACAAGCCACATAATTTTATAGACGTACGCATAAGCATTCCATACCTTGATCACCAAATAACTTGTGAGGATAAGGAATGGCAAGATCATAAGAGTCCATGGCAATTGATTGGTTTCTATCCAGTCTTTAATCATTCTCAGAGTGTTTCCCACAGGAAAACTTCTCTTGTAGGCTATCACCATCAGGTAATCTGATATTCAAATGAACATCAGTTGGTATATTCATGGTTGCCGTATTTTCTGATGCACCATCTGGCCTGCCATCTATTGACTTATCCATTTCATGTTGCATGGCTTTCTCTGGAGCGCTTCCACCAGGAAAACTTGACTGATTATCAATTTCCTTGAATGGGGTGACACCGTCATCTCCAGGATAAGAGGATGCATCAACAGATACAGGATCTGCTCGACTAAAAGTAACAGAAGTATCAACTGTCCTGGTTGATTCATTAGAAACATCACATCGTTCATTCACAGCATTAGTCAAATTGTCAGTGCTAAATGATTCAGAACTACCATGGTCAACCAATTCAGAAATTTTCTCCTGCAATGTTGGGACAAATTGAATCCAGCATCAAGGTTTTTCATTTTAAAAGCAGTTAAGAAATCCAAAAATAAAGAATGAGATGTAGTAAACGCGCACTCGGAATCTCTTCATTAACCAGATAATAGTCCTAAATTCAACCATCACTAGCATACCTGGATATGAAGACTCAACCATTCCTTGTCTAAACTGGTTGCCAGAACCTCAGCACTGACAAACTCTTCTGGAAGAATTCAACCGAAAGAAAACAATAGACTATTTAAAGATGAGGTCGTTGTGTTGTGTGTCTTCAACAATTTTAGTCCAACTGTAGATATGTCACCACAAGTTGACAACTTCACTAAAATCTCATAAGTTGACTTCTCTTTATCTTATAAATTTTAACGTAATTCAATGGTAATTTTAAACTTAACATATTCTTACCATTTTCAATGAAAAACCTGAATATTCATATGTTTACTTTCTACTTTTTAAACCTAAAAATAACAACGGGTGATAACAAAATCCTAAAAACCGGCATTTCTCTTTTCTTTTTCATTTTATTTGATAGGCGACGGTAGTAATTTTGATGTTGGTCACCGATCACATCACCTGTTTTTGTTGTTTCTTATTTACTTTTTTATATATCATATTTATTTTTTTAGTTTCTAATAATTCTATATTTATGACACGTTTTTGTCGTTTGATCATCTTTTAACCATATTTGGTATTACCTTAACTGATCAAGATGATGCTTATTTGTTATCATGTTAATCTTCCCTGCTTTGGACTCTTAAATTGAACTTAGATACTCAATTTGTGTTCGCATATAATTTTTTCGCGGCAATCAACCTGATTTGCGATTGTTGGTAATCATTCAATAATTTTATCCCTTGTTATGATTCAATTGTCGATACAATCAAATTTGTTCGTCTATCTTTTATTCAAATTTTTTAGATAGATTTTAACATTTTCCTTATACAATCCTCATGATATCTAACGACTGATATGTTATGTGAATGATTATGAGAAAATATTCTAATTATATTTTTAGTTTACACACTTCCATTTGCATAAAAAAAGGGTGGCAGCAGATTTAATTTGAACCTAAATAGTTTCTTAAAAAATGGCCTACAACCCTATCTAGCCTATGAACACTCTAATTGGCTCATACAACTATCAACTTCAATCAAATTTTAAATTTAATTCTTAAGATGGTAATCCCTTATGGATCTTCGTGCATAAGAATCTGATTAAAATTTTATGTTCATCTGGAACTACTTTTGATGAACTAAAGATTTAGATTCGATATAAGAGGAATAAACTTGCAAAAGAAAAACCCTATTAAAGGATAGAAAGCATTTTCCACCTACAAAAAAAAGAAACCTAGTATGTTCATCAGAAGAAAAACCAAAGGATTTAAAAGGCAAAGCTCATAAATAAATGCAGTTCAAAAATCTCGGAAACTCATTCTAGGGTCGACCTTTTTGCCAGTTGCTCGCCCTCTTCCCCTTCCTCTTCCTCTGCCTCTTCCTCTTGCACCAAAGCCTCTGCTAAATGATTTACCATGCTTCACATCCACGAGTGAATGAAGCAACTCATCACAAAGAATGCAACCGGTATGCAATGTAGCTCCGCCTTCTAAAGGAGTTGTTTTCTTGTTGAAGTCTACCTCTATGATTGTTGAGTCGCATTCACTACAGCGCTCTTGGGTGGTGGTGATACGGTGAGCACCCTCTGGGAGTAAGACAAGGCAATTGCATTTGTTGCAATAAAGCCTCCATTTCGGTGCACTCACTGGGTCTAAAACAAGTGTTCCGCTGCATTCGGGGCAAGCACAGACCCCCTGGGCCACCACAGAATGTCGACAAGTGGGGTGTGGGCAGAGGAAGCACGGCATGCCTGCTCCCTTCCCTAACTTCCCTGTACTACCAATCTTTGTGGAACCAAAGAGAGTGTCTACTCCTTCAAATGGAGGACTATTATAGCAATACGGGCATAGGGGGAATGACTTGCCCTCTGGGCCAGGCATGGAGAAGATCAAAAGCTCGAAATTATCCAATGGACATGTAAGTTCCTTGTACAACTGTAGAAATATTAAAATGTAAGTTACAATGAACACTGTTAACCAGAGTCGATGATAAAGATACTTTGATCATGCACTGTTTGACTTTCAAAACAACCTATGAGATCCAAAACACTGCCGCAAAACATGTGGCTCTATGTATGTATGTGTGTCAGTTCTCACGTTCTTTTCTTCATGTTATCCATGGAAACAAAAACACAACACAAAATATTAAAAGTTTCAAAACCCTAAACTACAAATTCAATGCATGTAGAAAACATATCGTGTTTAAAAATGTTATGTTTATTACATTGATTTCATATTTATTATATATGTCAAGTTTGTCCCGTGTTAATTCATTAGCACTATGTCTTAGTACTACACCCATGCAATTTCTATAGCACATCAAGCTATTGAATGATGTAGATGCATCAAATCAAAAACATTTGCTGGCAAGCCAAGGAAAGAGATTTATTGGTGTGCTTAACTAGTTTTCCTTCTAAACCATGGAATTTGCGAAGATGCAAGAAATTGTGTATGGTTCAGATGTCTGGAACAACATCACGTATGATACATGCTATGGTGAAACCCTAAATTTTGCGAAAGGTCTAGTATCTTGGAATTACCTTGATTGTGCCCTTTTGAGGAAGATAGTAAACCTCCTCACATGTGCCACAAAACATTCGTTGTGGTTGTGCTGAGATGTACTTCATGTACCGCAAACATTTACCACATTTACTAAGAGCGCGTCCAGTGTCAGCTAGTGGGGAGAATTGTGCTTCAAATAATGCATCCATGTTCTCTATCTGAAAAAAAAGAAAGGGGAGTCAAGTGATGAAAAAACAATTCTACACTACGATATCTGGAAAAAGAAAAGTATACACAAGAGCAGCTTGTTAAGTGGCAGTTTCCCACATCAGCTAAAATGTTTCTTGTGGTCTTAAATTAAAATTGGGCCCTCCCCCTAAAGCCAATTGGTTTTAGGTTGAATGTTCAACATGAAATAAGGCATTTCATGTATTTCACCATGATATTATTTAACCATAGAAGTAAAAATAAGCTCTTTAACCTGCTGAACAAAATAAGTGAATTTTTGCTTGAATTGCTGGAGTACATGCTGCACAACACGAGAATGATCGGCCTGACCCTTAGCAACCAAAGTAATCTGATGCTCAATGAAACTGCGAATGTCCGGCAAGCAAAGATCTGGGTCAATGCATTGATAACCTCTTATTAGTGTTATGCCTAAAGTAGTTGGAACCAACTTCCTACCAGCTTGAACCTGCATTTAAGAACAAAATATCAATCTCAAGAAAAAATAAACAAAAACATTTTGCATACAAAAGCTAACCGTCACAAGGAAGAATTTTAAATTATTTGCTTAAGAATTTATAAACCTGCACATAGTTCCGCTCACATATGTTGTTTATATGCACAGGTATTGATGCATCTGTGCCTATCCCGTGCTTCTCCATCAGAGAAATGAGCTCACTCTCACTGAGATAATCAGGAGGCGAAGTCTCACCCTATAGAATTTACAAAATCAGGCATCAGAAACAATATTAGAACTCTTAGTGATTTCATTAAATGGAGGTCAATATGTTACCTCATATAACTCCACTCTTGAAACTTCAATTTTCTCCCCTTTTCTAAACTGGGGAAGGTTTTTCTCATTTATGGCCAACCATGGCATAATAGATGTAAATCCTTGTACAGTTACACGCTGCCCAATGCAATGGAAGAATTCACCACCAACTGAAAATTCTACTTTTGTCCTGAAATAGGCACCAATAGATACATATTATAAAAGAAAAGCATATGCTAATGCATAATGAACCAATAATATAAAATCTAATATCAAAATGTTTTGCTGGCAAATCAATAGTATGTGAATCATGTAAAATTGAACAGAGGCAACAAACATGCCTTTTTCCACTATAGATCATATCAAAATATGTTTGATGAGAACTGTCGTAACCGGTTTTCGTCCGGGCACGAAAATTTTAAATTTGGCGGGAAAATTTATGTGAATAAATGGTTTTGAAAATAATTTGGGAGTCGCCATCGACCTTTTGGGTCAGGTAGGTCGAATACCTAAAAATTATTTTTTTAAAAGAGTTTTAAGAAAACACCAATAAAAAAATGAACTGATCTGCGTTTATAACCAAAAATTCGTTCTTTTTAATAATAAAAAAGGGATTCGTGGTCGGTTACGTTTAGGGAAGGATTAGCACCCCTACAACGCCCAAAATTGGTACTTTTCAATTATAAATTGTCTCTATTATTGGAAATTTAAAAATTCAAAGATATATTTAATTCATAATTCTATTATTTCAAATAATTTTAAGAAAATAAGATATTTACTTATTTAGAAATATCAGAAAAGGGCTTCTAGGTGCCTTAAGACAGCTCTTTTCTTTGATATTAATAAATATAAAATTAAATAATATTTTTTTATAATATTTAATTTTAAAATACCAGAGTAGGACATCCAGTTGTATTAAGACTGCCCTTTTCTTCGATATTGAAAAATAAATATTAAAATAATTTATTTTAAAAAATATAAATTATTTTTTATTATATATATTTATGACTACATAATAATAATAAAATATTTAAATATATAAACAAGTAAAATTAAAACAATAAAAATACAATTAGAACGATATATTTAAACACAGTAAAATAAATGAAAACATTTAAAATTAGTGACTGAATTATATTAAAATTAAAATTAAAAACCTAATTCATAATTAATCAAAATTATAAGGATTAAACATGCTATTTTCTTATTTTATTAATTTAGTGACTAAAATAAAACTTATCTAAAATTCGAATATCAGATTAAAATAAATTAAAAATATATACTCGGGATTAAAATATTAATTCTTAAAAAATTAACAGACTAAATCTGTTATTTACCCTAAATATATTATTTTAATATAAATGACTAAAATAAATAAATCTAAAATTAAAGAACCAAATTATAAAGATCTAAAATTGGGTTCAGTGACTAAAATATAAAGTTTACAAATTCAGAGGACTGCGGAAAGGATTTAACCTTTACCAAATTACACACAGGTCCTCCCTTAAACGACGCCGTTTAAGAGAGGGTATAAATACCCTAGGCTGGCTGGCCCGAAGGGCCAGCATCTCATTTCTCCTTTCTTTCTTCTCTCTCTCAAACTGAGAGAGAGATTTCTCTCTCGCCTCTCTCTAGGTTTCCCTCACCGGAGGCAAACCGGCAGCCATAGGCCACCGTACTCCGCCGCCGGCCACCGCCGCCGGCCACCGTAACGGTGGTCGGAATTCACCAAAAACACCCCCAAAGCGTAGATCTAAATGCCCTAAGACCGATTCCGGTCTTTGTTTTCCCTAAAAGACTCCTAATCGGAGTAAATCTACGAAAATACCTTCGGTATTTTCTGTTCTCCGGCGATGTTTAGTGCTTCCGACGGTGGTCAAGGCTCCAAGGGTAAGTTTCTTTTCTTCTTTCTTTGTTTTCTATTTTTTTTTTTTCTGGTTGTTGGTTGCTGTTCGTTTGTGTTCTTCTCCTCTTTTTTCCTTTTTTTCTTGCAGGGGACGGTGGCTTTTATAGCCACCACCGGTGATGGCTTCAGACCGGTCCAAAGGATGAAAGGCCCGGTGAGTCACCATAGCTATGGTGGTGACTCACCATAGGGCTCGACGTGGACGGCTGTTATTGTGGCAGCAGAGCTTCTGGAGTCTTCTGTTGGTGTCGTCGTGGTACTGGTGTGTCGACAATGGCGGTGGAGGCGTCGGCAGTGGGGCATTGGACCACCTGGCAGTGAAGCGGCGGTTGGAAGCTTGGAGATAGCTGAGGCGGCGCCGCGTGATTGCCCTAGGGTATCATACCCTAGGGTTTTTTTTTGTCTGGAAGCATCAGGACCGTTGGATCTTGGTCAGATCCAACGGCTGTGAGCAATGACGGCTGGGGCATGAGATGAGAAACCCTAGTTGGGTTTTAGGGTTTGTAAAATGGGCCTCCGGGTCCTTTGGGCTTGTAATAATTATTTAATAATAATATACTAATAATAATATTTAATAATAATAATAATAAATTTAAATGAAAAAATGATGTCTACAAGAACTATACTTCCAATAAGTTCAAGTTCAATGAAAACAAGGCCCTTCTCAGTAGCCTAGCCACCTACCCACACCTTCCCTACCCCCTGCCCACCCAAGTCTTCTTTGCTCTTACCCCACTTTGATAAAAACATCCTCCATTAAGAAACAACCATGGAATTCTACACTGAGTGCACTTATATTAAAGCTTCAAGCGACACCATACAATTCTATTAGATATCCTTCCCCCACAATAATCAGAACATGCTAAGGAGCATCTAAAGCAAGTGGCAAACATAAAAGTGTACAGCCATATGCCATCACCAAGGTCGCACATTGACCACAGTAGGATATGAGAACTTCCAGAAAGAATGAATCTAAATAAACAAGACGATTAAGCATTAGGCTATTACCTCACATATTTGCAGTCAGGAGACACCGTTCCCATAAAATGTTGACAGATATACTGATATAATCTCCAAGCATCATTTCCAAGAACATCCTCAGTTGCTGGTTGCATTGGAGTTATAGGAGGATGATCACCAGCATCTGTTCCTGTCCGTGGTTTATGATAACCTTCAGCGAGCAGTCCATGGATATAACCACTCCACATTGGATTATTCTCTAGTAACTTAAGTGTGCCTTTGAAGTCAAATGATGAAGGATATGCTGTACTTTCAGTTCGTGGATAGCTGAATAGCAAAAATTCCAAAAGTAAAATAAATATATAATTACTACTGGAACAGTAATGGAAGTATAAAAAATATGCAGTTATATATGAAGTAAGTTGCAACACTGTTATTTATTATAAAGCTTTCTTAACCATGCTTATTAGAACCGGGACTTGCAATTAATGAATCTAACTGTAATACCTAATTTTCATGGCTTGTGAAGGCATTAACCCATGACTTAGTCAGGTATATAAAGACCAATCACATTATCGTTTAATTGGTTATTATGTGTGTAAACAATAAGATAAAATATCCGCGCATGCGTGTATTGTACTCTTCCTTCAAAACAACACATAGAACTAAGCTCCAGAAAGAACATCCCTTTTAAACCTAGACACACAACTCTTCCTATCAATCCCACCACCCTAAAAAAGAACAAAGATCCAGACTAAATTCTCTTACAGTCAACATAAAACATAGTACAGATCCTTAATCATCAATCAATTATAAATGCAACAACTAAAGTACTAAATCATCCAGTTTTCATTTCTAGCAGAAACCTTTCTTTAGAAAATAATTCTCCTGTCGAGTCTAAGTAAAAAAATACCGGTCCTTTAAAACAAAAGGATAACCTAAATAGCTAGCTCTTTAGCAACAATACCAACATCAGTACCAGAGATTTAACAGGTCATATCCAAGAATACTGATACAGAATCTCTCTGCCTTCTTCATTATAACAACTTGCAATGAAATAACCAAAAATTAGTAAGATACAAAGAAACTCATTTTAATCTAAAATAGAGAGAGAAGAGGACCTTATGAAACCTTGCGTATATAAGCGTTCAGAAATTTGCATGGCTGTCTGAGGGCCATAGCCTAATGCACTTGAAGCAACCTGAACAAAATTAATAAGGATTATCTTGAAATGTTTATTAACTTGTTCTTAAAAACCATGTAAGAGTCGGAAAAATTGATTTCCATAAGTCCAAAAGGTTGGAATTGCAGATTTGAAATTTTCAACCATTTTAACACGAAAGCTTCTTTGAGGACCAGCAAAAGCAAAAGCTAAGATACCTTCTAGTCATAATTACTTTTATGCCCCTAATTATTATTACTTTGTTTACATAATAAATTTTCCGATCTTGGACATATTGTCTCAAACAAACACTTATCACAGCAATGTCAGATGGGTGACATTGTGACCACAATTTTCCACCACACTAGCAATGTCACACTAGATTTTCTAGTCATAAAAACAGAAAAAATTCAACAAGATTAATCTGTCCACAAGGAATCAGCAATGCAACAAGAGAACAGCCTAGAAAGAACGTTACGCAATTGAAAGTAACCTATATAGTCCTCCTTTCCTTGTTGGATACATCAATAGGCTATTCACATAACAACTACCCATTAGAGGCAAAGATTTTATACCCATCCCGTCCAAAGTAATTTCTAGTTCTTTTAAGCAGCTATTTGAGAATCAAGTACAAATTACATTTTACATGTAAAAGATTAACAAAAGCAATTCATAGTTGTTCTAACCTTCAAAAGATTCACCGTGTTGAGACCAGAAGGTCGACCTTTGCTTTCCTGTTTTTCTGATACATCAATTACTTCAAGAATGCTATCTTCTGTCACCAACTTTTGAAACATCGTAGCAACCTGAAAATATACATAAAAACAGGAATTAGCACAGGTCATTCAAACACCAATAGAAACATCAATAAAATCTTTATGCAACAAGGACTCACGTCTACATCGAACAACTTTTGACGTTTCCATTCTAGCTGAAGCTCATAACCAGTCTGAATAATATAGGGGTGTAATGCCCAAAACTTTTCGGGTTTAAAAGTATTAATTTGCAGATAACGCTGTACGCAAAACCCAAGTGTAGGAGTTTGACATGGTCCATATCTGAAATAAGCAATTAATTCGTGTTTTACATACTGCTCCAAACTTGGCCAAAAAAATCAGTAGCTGAGAAGCAGAAAATTAAAACATATATATATATATGAGGTAGTGTAACTCTAAAGAAAGAGGATGAACTAAAAAGCAAAAAAAATCAGCACTGCCTAGTCTAAAAGTAAAAGTTAAGCCTAAAAGTTGAAATAGTGAGACCATAAACTTTCAGATAGTTGCACAGGAAGAGAAACTTAGGAAAGATGCTCATAGATCAATATCCAGAAAACAAAATTGTGAATAAGCAAAGGTAAAACAATACCAAGAATGACATGTCAGCTTGCAAAGCATAGGCTATGCTAAATGAATCAGGCTTGAGTTTAAAGTGGACACTGATACTGATGAAAGATAATTAAGCATAACTGTGAAATAAGGGCCAGAGAAACATAAGATAAGAGCTGAAAGAAATCTGGTTGTCAACTGTAGCCCATCGGACGGGGTAAGACTCCCTTTTACCCTTATTTTTTTAAAATAAATTTTATAAAGTTTAAATTTTATTCATCTTATATTTATTAATTTTGAAACTTTTATTTTACTCCATCTTTCGACATAATTAAAGTTTTAATATTTTTGAATTATCAGTTGATACAAATAATTTTTTTATAATACTATAATTATTTAACATAAATATAATTTTAATAATTTTTAATTACTTATTTTATATACACACATATCTCAATTTAAAGTCTTTATCGAACATTTTCTCTTATCACTATAATTCAGCTTACCACAATTGTTGCTTTTGCATTCGAACACATCCTACTATTTATTTCAACACTAAATTAACTAAATTCACCTCTACCATTGTTTTCAATATCACTAGTACTCTCACATGCCCATCCAAATTAAATTATCAAACTAGTAGGGGCTCTAATATAAGCAAATTGTAGTCAATAAAATATTATTGTCAATGGAACTACAATATAATCCTAGACTCTTGGGATAAGCAAATGAGAACTGGCATGCACAAAATTCTCACATCTGTGAGCATAAAATTATTATGCAAATAAAAAGCAATAGAACTAAAGGGCGAATGGAAACCCCATCAAAAAAATATGCATAAAGAACTAAAAAGTGCTAAGAAAGATGAAAGAACTGACGAGATAACCCTGGAGTCAAGGTTCCCATATTTTCCTTGAAAATAACTAGTTTGAAATCGTGTAAATGCAACACCAACTTTCAAATCTATCTCTTGCCGAGCATCCACAGCAAGTGCCTCATGTCTGTTTGGTTCCACCAGGTTGTCCATAGCCTTCGAAATGTCCTTCTCAGTCACAGAAGAAAACCTAGCACGATAAACCCTTTTCTTTGCCTCATTCACTGGAAACCGAGTACACTCAATCACTGCAAGAAATTTATAATAATAATAACAAGTAAGCAGACATGCAAATCTGTCATTGAGAAAATCTCTACAAATAATTTCAAGTTTGTAATTAATAATGGCGAATTTCTTTGTTGAAAATACATATATATGAGAGAGGATAGTCTGTATTTAAATGATTTTCAAACTTATTAAAAAAGAAATCGTGAGAGAAAAGGCCAATGAAAAGCAGAAGCTTTGTAGAGCAGAAATAACTTCAAATGCTTTAAAATAAATGATATTAATTGGAATTAAGGCTTCCATATGCTGAAAGGTAGAGAATAAAGCAGACATGCCTTATAGAAGCACAATCTTTCTTTTTCTTTTCACCAAAGTAATTATAAAACGGCAGTGCTGATTAATTTGCATGGAATGAACATGGTACCATTTAGACTATCATAAATTCGCTTAATCATTTGATAAGTTCATGGAGCAACAAGGATTGCTTCACAGCGATGTGCATATAAACCAACATAAAGCAGACAAGAATTACCTTCAAAACAAATGTTCTCTCCTTCCCGATCACAATCCAACCACAGTACCAAATAATCACAACCACGAGCTTCTTGACTTAAATGTCTAGAAATATGAGCCTGATTAACCAAAAAATTGTTAGAAATTTATATTTAAAAAGGGTTTATAGCTTAAAAATTGAACCAGGACAAGGAGTTAAACACACTCATTGCCAAGAATTAAAATGCAGATCCGACCATAATGATATAGAAACAAAATTCATGTTTACCTCACCAACATCAACTGTCACGGTTTATTGTCATAAAACTTTATATATAGTGACCTGTGCAAGTTGGTGGTTTTACATGGAAACATGAATTTTAGAGAACTCATGTACAAAATTAGTTTAAAATTCAAGTACAAATTTACAGTCACTCGCTAAGTACATAAGTTGATCTGATAATAATCAACTAATATATAAAAACAAAATTCATGTTTATCTTACTGTAGAAATTTGAGAAATGGTTTGGAACAGAGAAATGATTGTATTCTCTGTAATTTTTCTTATTTCAAAATACTACATAGGTTAGGCCTTATATAGGCAGATTTACAATAGGAATACAACTCTAACTTAGAGTCTTATGGCTATTAGGAGTTAACTTATTCTAACTAATATTCTATCTAATATTATCTCATCTAATCCCTTAATTAGGCAAGATGCAGAGTACAAAGTAAATAAAACCCTAATAATTAAATTACAATAAAACTCCAATTTATGTGGCTACAATCTACACTTACCAACACCAACTGTCACGGTTTATTGTCATAATAATTTATATATTGTGACTAGTGCCAGTTGGTGGTTTTATGTAGGCCAACATTCTAACTTAAACTACAGCTAAATCCTTGAGAAACATATATTTAGAGTACTCAATTACAAAATTAGTTTACAATTCAAGTGCAAGTTTCCATTCACTCACTCAGTACATAAGGTAGATATATCTGATCACAATAAACTAATATATGAATTCGCATAGGGATTTTCACAGCAGAAGAGAAACAACTTTTGATTCTATCACTAAAGTGCCGAGATAAAATCCCAGAATTCAGAAATATTTGTCAACTATTTCCTTTACATGAATTGCTGAGATCGTGATAACAAAAACACAGTTTTTTTTAGCAATACCAAGTTGACTCGTAAAAATCACTAAAAAGAATGGCAAGATGAAAAATTACAAAGGTTGATAGGAAGCCACATAAACTATATATACCTTTGGGTTTGATTCTGTCTTGATAACCGAAGCTTGAAATAAGTCTAGAGGATTAGTGGCATTCCAATCTTGATAAGATGCTGGAAAATCTACACTAGATTTGGCCAAGAAGAAAAAAAAGGAAAAACATCACCATAAGGAAATCGAGATAATAAGTTAGACAAGATAAGGCTGCAATAGGTAAACATAAAAAGTAACAGCTAAAATTAACAGTTCCCTAATATCTTCTACAAGTCATAATGTTATGGTGTAAAATGCAATATAGCTTATACTAAAGTTCACTGCACTGATATTTGAATATATTCTTTCCTGAATCAAGAGAGTTAAACTTTAATGTCTTTCCCTGTATCAAAATACTCTCTCAAGCCTTTTCAAGTTATTTTCAAATATAACATACATAAAATAATCACATAAGGAGAAAGGCATCAGCATTCTAGGCACCTAAATATACAAATCCTGGAAGTAGAAAGCAAAAAAAATAGAAAATAATCACATTTTCTTTGTTTTCAACGCGTCAGGGAGAATAAGGACCTGAACACGTGCCCAATAACTGAAGTAACTTTATAATGGACATGAAAGCCGAGAAACTTTCCATTGAACTCGTGGACTTCTGTACTACCTCTCCTGGTCGACATCTGGCATATGTAATACAACTTATAAGTAACTAAAAAGCATTCAATAATGAAAACTAAAAAAGGACACAGCATTCACAAAAAGACAATAGAACCCTAACCAAAACAAGAAAATGTTTTGACATTAGTACAGAAATACTAAAGTGAAAATGATATAACAAAAGGGTTTATCGTTTGATGGAATTAAAAGCTATTCAAAAGGGTTAATCGTTTTTTGTCTCCTTTCGAGATCTGATCAAGGATCGTTTGATTATTGAGAGTGACAGCAGGGTGGCAGTGGACTGGATTAAGAAAGTTGAATTATGCCCAGACATTTATGCTGCTATTGTTAAAGATATTGTTGATAGGCTTAATGTTTTTGAAGGTGTTGTTAGATGGGTTAATAGGACAGCTAACCTATGTGTTGTTGTCCAGGGCTGTTTTTATGTTTTTATATTTCCTACTAAGGGATTAGGTTGTTGTAACTCCTATGTACTTTTCATGATTCTAACATATTTCTAAGGCACTCTTTTCCTCCTTCCGCTGATTAAGGAGCTTCCTATGAGCTCCATTAATCATGAAGGGGGTTTTTAATGAAGAATGATTCAGCATTGTGTCCAACACGTCACAGCACTGTGCAATACTTAAACAAAATATTATTTTAAACTAAATCCAACACCAACAAAGGGTATGAAATTTTCCAAACAGGTTACTGTTTTCAATAAAGAAGCCGTGAGAAATGTAGCTTAAGAAACAAAAATTGAAAAGCGAATCAAACAAACATACATATATATATATAAACCTAATACAAGGTTCACAAACCAAGCATTAATTGAATTGCTACAATTCAAATCAAGCCAATGGCAACATTATCTTAACGGGATGGCTTTCTTGAACTAAACTAATTTTCATAAATACTGAACCTTTTTTTCCCTATAAAATTCCTTTTCTTTAAGAGTGTCTGTTCTGACAGTAAAGCCAATGGTCAATAACATCCTAAAGATGAAATGTACTTAATATTTAAAATCTAAAAATTAAAAAAATTTAACGCTCAAGTTTGGGAAACCAATAAAACTACAATGGAATCTCACAAAAATAAGGGAGATTTTAAGCATACTTGGCCATGAGAGAGTACGGAAGCGATGGAGAGAGCGATGCTAGGTTTTTCCGCCACCTGCAAAAAACAGTGAGAAAAATCGACTTAAACATTAGACATGAAGAAACTTATTTTACACTTAATTTTATGTATTTGGCAGAAAGGAAATTGAAATGTTTCAAAAGCTTTGTTAGATTGATTACCATTAGAACTTTGGGAGGCGAAGACATATTTGTGAATTAAACCAGCCTTCTCAATTTCCACTTCCACTTTCTTTGTTGAGCTTTCCACCTTCAACTTCTGACTCTAAATAATACGCCTTGAAGGAAATACGACCTAGTTTTTAGTTTAAACCCCTAATCCCTAACACGCTTATCAAACACATAGACTGATCCGGTGTTGGATTTAGAATTTTACTAGGCAAGTGTTTTCTTTTTATATATATATATATATTCTTTTGTAGAATATTATGATTATTAAAAATTATAAAATAATTTATTGATTATGGGAGTTAATTTATTGAATTTTTTTATTATTAAAAATTATAAAATAATCATTCGATTATTTATTATGTTTTAAATTTGTCATTTTTTATTAAAAGAATAGTTGTATAAGTTAGACGTTAACATGTTAACTAAAATATATTAATATTTAATCTCTTAATTTCGAACGACTATCATATTTTGGATATGTACTATTTGGAACTCCATATTTTATAAACTTAAATTATATTATTTATTTTGGATTACGATTATATCTTTATACTTTGTGGACTTTTGAGGAAAAATATTTTTTTAAAATGTTAGCCACTTAAGTGATTTCATATGACATTTAATCATCTGAATTTAAGTGGGAGTGGATTAGGGTGTTACAACTTTTATTTTTTATTTTTCTTTTAATTTATGTATATTATATTTTTATTTTTAATAATTTTTAGTACTCTTTTCTCTACTTTTATGTATATGCATACTTTACTTTGTCTTCTGTCATATTTTTTTGTATTCTTTATCGATCGATTGGGCCTTTTTTTGTTAATATTTTAAAGATTGGATTTGAAGTCTCATCGATTGATAAGATGACTTGTATGCACACTTTAAACATTCGTATTGAATTTGGATATACAATTTATATTTGGATATATTTCTTTTTCACGACGTTCAACTATGATTTGTTATTATCGATTATATTTTAATAGTTTGATCTCGTGTTATGATTCGTTTATCGATGCATTTAAATTTGTTCGTATCTATCTTTTGTTCGAGTTTTTAGATAGATTTTTAACATTTTTCTTATATGGTCCTTATATGATCTCAAGTGACTAGTTTCTTGTGTTATTTGTTATAGAATTGTATCTTAAGTATGTGTTTTGATTTACATTTATGATTATAACCTTTTTTATATATAATTTTTGATATTTCATCTTTTCTAATCCTCTATTAAAAAATAATTTAAATAATTAGTTATTGTTTATAACTTTGAATTTTTATAAAACTAATAAAAAGAAATTAGAAGTCTTAGCTATATATGTACTCGTTATTTATCATTATCTCTTGATCCATTCCCATCTGTTTTCCATCTTAGATGTTACAGTTGAGATGGAGAGAAAGTCATCGTCTTGTAGGCGCCGGCGAAATTCCATCGGTTGCGTGCCTGCCATTTTCAGCTTCTTTTCCAAACACAACAAGCGCTCAAAATTTATCAGCTGTGGTTCGTTCCTTCCGCAGATGGCTTCTTACCATTTTGTACTATAAAATTTCCTCAACTGCAATTACTCTTAATTAGATTTTAGTTGAGCAGTGATCGCTACATTGTTCCGATCCTCTCTTGATTTTCAGGGAAAGAGAAGCGAGAGGAGGCGGCCCACGACGAAGAGAGGCTAAAAGATGCAAAGCTTGTAATTAGGAGTCCAACGCTTCCGGTAGAGATTCGGCGATCGTTGTCGGTTGAGGTGGGGAACCATCGTCATGCATTAGTGGCGAGGTTGATGGGAGCAGATAAATTTCCTCCGAGGTTGATGGGAGTAGATAAATTTCCTGGATTCCGGCGCCGATAAGAGAGTGAAGTTGCCGCAGGTTGGAGCAGTGGAGAAGTGCGATGAGGATTTGAAGGCTCTTCAAAGGATTAATGAAGTTGTGAAGACGAGCATCAGCGTCGGACTTGGGGACAGCAATGAGCTCAGTCAGTCGTCTTCTCCTACTTCACTGAATATCTTTAATTTTTTAACATCTTATTTGTTATATCTCTGAAAATATTTTTGAAAAATAATATTTCTGTACACAATTGATTGGAAATTTTATACTCCTTATATAACTATAGTCCTACAATTAAACCTCTAATAATATTACGCAGTAAGGACACATATATAGTAGTAACCTAAATTTTATACTCCTTATATAACTATAGGAATAATTTTAAGTATGGATAGTAACATAAATTTTTCAAATAATGGACACAAATAAAATTTTAGGATGGATAACATCAATAAAATAAACAACTAACATAAAAAAATTCGGATTTCAATGTCCACCTTTAAATACATATATATCCACCAGTGATATTATGTGATTTACCAGAGTCAAAACCACTCGATAACTATTAAAATCTTGTTTAAATCAATCTACATATAATTGTTATCATTATAGATTTAACACTAATCGTCTTATAATTGAGATTTTTTTGCTCCAATTCTCTCCACTTCTTTTCTCCTTCATTCACATTTTTCCCCTATACTTTCATCTCTCTTATAAAAAAAAATTCGATCAATAGTTATTATTTTATTCATTATGATATTCTAATCAAAAGAAATAAATCATTACCGTATAACGAAGGAAAATATACATATCAATAATATTCATAACAAATTTTTAATTTTTTTTATAGATGATGAATAATTACAATAAAAACTTTAACCCAAAGCTAAAAAGCTTAAAATGTTAATGTCTGTGGTTCCATTCCCTTTTGCTTTAGGTGTAAAAATAGGATTCCAAGTTCATAATAAATCATCATTATAAGCAGTGTGGTAGTGGGAGACAAAAGTTATCTCACTGTTGCTATATGCAATTATAGCATGCCCATCATTCTTTTACTACAATTTTTTATTTAATTATTGATATATAATCTAATGATTAATTAACTCAGATCGAATATTATAGAGACGAGGATAATTCTCCTAACCCAGTTTGTTATATTCATAAACATCAGGGTTCGAACCATTGACATTACTTAACAAATCTAATGTATTTTCCTACTAAATTTTAATCGCTCCCTTCCCTTAAATACAATGTCAAAGATTTTATACCCTTATATTCAATTTATATATATATTTTAATTTAAGTTTTATTTTGGTATCTGTTGTTAAAAATTTAACGGTGATAATTGATATATCATCATAAAATAATATCATGTCGTTATTGATAAAATATCACATCAATAATTTTGTTAGTTTTTAACGACAATATATCAAATTAAAATATAAAATAAATATTAGATATAATTTTAAAAATAAAATAAAATCTAAATACCAAAATAAAATAAAATTTTAAATTTAAATGTATAATTTACTCTTTAACTTTATGATATTTTTATCGTGTTTTCATAACATCATTTATTTATGTTGTACCAACAAATCGTGTCACGTTATTATATTTTGAAAAATAAAAATATAAAATATAATTTAAAAATTATAGAAAGTAAAATATATGTGAAAAGTAAAAAATTTTCAAAAGATCTAAAAGCTTAGAGAAAGAGTTAATTGTATTATATCTCACCTAAACTATAACTTTCATTTTAAATTAGTCCTTAAATTTTTGAATATTTTAATTTCATCCCTAAACTATGACTCTCATTTTAATTAGTCCTTAAATTTTTTAACATTCTAATTGCATCCCTAAACTATGACCCTCTTTATAAATTGGTCCCCAAAATTTTGAATCTTTCAATTTTATCTCCAAATTCATCCAAATATGTAATTAATTTCAACCATACTTTAACCTAATTTTTTTTCCAAATATATAATAATATAACTTGGCCTAATGATTTTATTAACAAGGGATGTGATTAGTATATACATATAGTTTGGGATAAAATTGGAATGTTCAAAAAGTTTGGGAATCAATTTAGAATGAAGGTTATAGTTTGAGGATGAAATTAAAATATTCAAAAGTATGCAGACTAATTTAGAATGATAATCATACTTTGGGATGAAATTGAAATATTTAAAAATTTAGGAACCATTTTAAAATAATAATCATGTTTTGTGAACATGTGATCCAATTAACTTGAAAAAAAAACTATCCATCCCCAAAAGAAATATTTCTGGCTATTTCTTCAATCTAAAAATTTAGATAAATACAATCCCTTTTCGTACATTACTAAACCCCGCAATCCATAGGTCATCTTCGACACTCACTAATTAGAAAAAACCGGCAATCCTTTTATCAATTTTCTCAGCATCCAAATAGTCACTTTTGTTTAAAAATGGCAATTACTCTCCTAGCTCCTTTGGCAATGGACACAACTACACTTTTGAGCCATTTTTGTTGGACATAGGGTGTTGAAGTGCGTGACATCTGTCACTTATTGCATCTGAATTAATGCCTATGTGCCAAAGATTGCTGGAAATGAGGGCTGGAATTAGGAATTTTAGGGTTTTAAGTTTTTTTTTGCAATTCTAGAAAAATTTTATTTTTTTACAAATTAACAGAATTTTTAAGTTTTTTTAAATAAAAATAAAAATTTATGAAAATTATATAAACATGACACATGTCAAATAACGTATGCACTTAAAAGTATAACGTTAAAAACATTATACGCCTACTTTGAACAAAAAAATCTTTTAACACTTAGGTTTAACGGTTTAACTTTATATAATTTAAACATTTTTTTGTATTAAGCCATTTTTTAAAATAAGAAGTTCAATCTCTATTTCATGAAGAGAAAACTTTGAACTTCTTTATGAGTCGAATCAAAAACGTTGTAGATAATGATAATTTGATCAACTGCTGCAACATAAATACATAATTCAATTGAATTATTTCTATAACTTTTTTCTCTGACAAAGCACAGGGAATGAGAATCAACAATCACAAAAATTTGTATCCAGATATATAAGGAATGATGTAAAATTTATGTTAAAAGAGACGAATTTCTAAAAATTTAAGAAGAATGAATTTGTAAAATTTTAAGCACATCACCGGAACATTTAACCGGAAAGTTGTTATCACACAACAATGGTTTCCTTCATATATATAGATTGTATTTGTATTGCTTGAATGTAGGACGAAGACGAAGCCTACAACAGAAGCACCAACTGATTAAGAAGAAGGCAGAGGAAGAGAAAATTGCTCCCACTGCCACTGCCACCACCGGGGCAGGTGGCTTCCTCCACAGATTTACAACGGAACACGTTGCTTATACGAAAAGCAATAACAACGATGAGGAAAATGATTCAGTTTCTGGCGTACGAAGAAGAAACGCATTAACCAAAGCCAAATGCATGATCCAGAGTGTGCATGAAGTGTGCAAGGATATTGCATGGGGTGAACGGCGGGAGATTGGCATAATAGGGTTGGCGTTGCAACACCATATTTGCAGAGATTTGATTCATGAGCTTGTTAAAGAAATTGCTTGCTACTCCAACTAACTCCATCCCTTCCATTTCAAGCACTATATAGGGAGAGAGGCATGATCCGTTAACATGTAAATATTTTAGTTTTATATCTTTTTAGAGTCGTTGTGAAAGCATACGACTGAAATTATCTCTTTATTTTTTATCGTTAATCTCAAGCGTCAATTTACACTCATCTCACGATCCTAAAAAGTTATAATACTAAAAAGGTTGTGTAAGTATAAATGGATCCTGAATTGTCTCTCTACCAAAATATTAATTCTTTTACTTAGTGTGAGCGGTATTGTTTTGAAGTGGGGTTTTTTTTAGCAAATTTAGTTGGAAGAAAAGTAAAGTATATTAAATGTTATCTTATTAATTTTATTGAATTATTTCGCATAATTTATGGCTCATTTTTTTTATAAACCACTAATTTTATTTAAAATAAAAGATATCGTAAATTATAATAAAGATTTATAGTCATAATCGTAAATTAAGCACATAATTAGGAAATTTTCATATAATCACTGAAACAAAACCAACAACTTAAGATCACATAAAGACCATACAAGAAAATATTAAAATCTAACCAAGAAAACTATAACAAAGATATATACTAATATGTTTGATCGCATCGGCAAACAAATCACAAAAGGGGATAAAGCTACTGAAAGATCACCGACAAACTGCAAATCAGACTTGAGGGACGTGAAAAACTACACATGAATGCATAAAAGGTATCCAAATCCAATCCGAGTGTCTAAAGCATGGAAGATCAACAATATAACATATAAGTGTCATCTTGACCAGTCGTGACGATATCTAATCAACCCTTAAAAAAAGATAAGTGAACACAACGACCAAACGACTTAAAAACGTGTCAAAAGGCATAAGAAAACGTGTCATAAAGGCAGGTAAAAACGTGTCATATATGCAGACTTATTGAAAACAAAAAATAAAATAAAATAAAGATGTAATATAAGAAAATAAAAGGATAATAAAAAATACCAACAGTCAGCAATTAACATTGAAGTTGTTGTCGCTGCCGATCAACAAAGACAAAAAGAATAAGAGATGAACAACTTACCAATAGAGAAAACTAGGAGAGGAAATTTACTTGAATAAAATCAAATGATAAAGAATTTGTTAAATTAAGTTTTATAAAAAGAAATAATGTTGAAAGTATTTCAATTAGATAAAGTTTAAATATCTTTGGGTAAAAATAGAAATGTTATAAGTAAAAGTGACTACAATGCATAAAATAAAAATAGTTAGTGTAAACATAGGATTATAAAAAAAAAGAGTGACTATATAAAATAAATGAAAAACATGAGAGAACAAAATATTATTCTTTATGTGTATAAAAACTTTTTAAAAAACTCAATTTATCCATTATGATAGACAATCGTAAAATATTTGTGGCTCATTCTTTGTGCATAAAAACATTAATATAAACAATCATAATATCTAAATTAACATTAATGTAATAATTATATCAGTAATAAAACACTTGTTTCAATGTTTTGTACTCATGTTTCACGGGTTCTTCAAGGTAAAAGAGTCGTACGAGACTCGAACTCGATAAGATTTAATCAGATTTGATTTTGTTGGATTGAATTTTAGAAAAAAAATTTGAGTTTAGGTTAGGTCAATTTTTTTAGGATAAATTCAGGTCAAGTCGAGTTCGGGTTTTTGGTAAAAAAAATATTCGATCCAACCTGATCCAGAAAATAATATAATTATACCTTATATGTTTAGAGATAATTATAATAATATCTCTCTCTATTTTTTCAACAAGATCCCTATTTTATTAAATAAAGTTAATACTTTTTTTTATAAATATAATTGTTTCTGGTTAGATCGGATTTGAGTTTTATCGTAAAAGACAGATCAAATTTCAGATCAGGTAAAATTATTTTAAATCAGAGTTGAGTCGGATTTCAAATTGAATGAAGTCATTCTAAATTCAGATCGAATAGAATTTTAGACAGATGATGTACATTTTCGAGTTGGGTCACCCGACCCATGCACATTCCTAACTAGAAACGGACCCTTGAACTCAACTTCTTCGACCTGGGAAAAAAAACCCTAGCAGCTACTGTATCAATTTCAAAACCCTGCTCCCAACTATGATAAATTACTTATTTTCCTTTTCTTCTTGTTTTTCACTAAAATCATTCTAAATAAGAGTTGAGTCGGATTTTAGATCAAATGAAGTTATTCTAAATTCGAATCGAATCAAATTTTAGATAAATGATGTACATTTTCGAGTTGAGTCCCATGCACATTCCTAACTAGAAGCGGGCCCTTGAAGAGATCCATTCTATAAAAAAAATTGTATAAAATCTCTCAACTTCTTCGACGTCTGGGAAAAAAAACCCTAGCGGCTACTGCATCAGATCCAAATTCCTAGGCTTCCAGCTATGATAAATTACTTCTTTTCCTTTTCTTCTTGTTTTTCACTCTGTTTTTTTCTTCTTCTCTCTTACAGCGTGGTGAATGGGAAATCTTTGATAGGCGGATGTGGAGTTAGAGGTGGCAGCGGCCGGAGTGCCTAAGAAGAGAACATTCAAGAAATTTAGCTTCAGAGGTGTCGATTTGGATGCTCTCCTTGATATGTCCACCGATGAGTTTGTCAAGCTCTTCCCTGCTCGTGCTCGTAGAAGGTAATAAGATAAAGAAAATAAAATTTTGGCAGGCTTCTTTTCTTGTTTGTACTGCAAAATATGATATGATTTTATTTTTTTATTGTTTTTATGCGACAGGTTCCAAAGGGGTCTCAAGAGGAAACCCATGGCTTTAATTAAGAAACTCCGCAAGGCAGTAATTTAATCTTTTGACTCTACACTTTCAGTTCTTGTTCATATCAATCGTATCTATTGGTTCATGACGAGTCACTGGGGAATGTATAGCTTATTTTGTTGAAAGTTGGAGCTTTGCTTGAGGACTAGTTGTCGTTGCGTTACATGAAACTCTTATATTGAACCCATCGAGTGACCTTTGTGTTAAAAGAGTCTTATTTTATGATTTGAGTTTGAGCGTCAGCATGCTTAATCAATGACTAAGAAAGATTACGAATAGTTATTAAAAAAAACTCATATATTATGAATTTATTATGTTAGGATGATAGGATCCATGTTTCAAATTTTATTATTATGTTTCCAGTGGAAGGATAGTCAATTTTCTTTAGAAAGGATGCTGTAGCAAATCCTAATGGATAAATTGAGTCTATTTATGCAGAGTATCATTGTAAATCGTTGTTTACTGTCTTTTTACCGCCTTTACTTAAGCAGATTACATTGGTTATGTTCAGAAACCTTGAATATAATCTAATCCTTGTTATACTTGATTATATGTTTCGAATCTATTTCTGATTTGGTATAGTATCGATTATCGTCTTTATTCTACTGGCTGCCAACCATCGTGTTGCATGCATGATGTCTATATGCTCTTCTTTTGCTGTTTCCTTCTTACTCATTGTCCTTTCAATTTTCCTCAGTGAACCCTGATTAAGAACACAATGTAGTGTTGATCGAATGTAGGAATGCTCGATCATTCGAACAATATTGTCCTAATATTATGGTTTCATGTATTGCATCAGAAAAGGGAGGCCCCTCCTGGTGAGAAACCAGAACCGGTTAGAACCCACCTGCGGAATATGATCATTGTACCCGAAATGATCGGAAGCATGATCAGAGTGTACAATGGCAAGACATTTAACCAGGTTGAAATCAAGCCTGAAATGATTAGCCATTACCTTGCTGAGTTCTCCATTTCATACAAGCCAGTTAAGCATGGTAGAGCTGGTATTGGTGCTACTCATTCTTCTAGGTTCATTCCTCTGAAATGAAGTTCATTTCTGCATCTTCAAATACTTGATCTGCTGTTTACTTTGAACAGACACTTTGCCTGCGCCACTTTTAGTATTTTCAGTTAATCACATTTTTACATGTTTTAAGTTGTATTCTTAGACTTTCATTTGCTCATATTATATATTTTTGGGTAAACTCATGTTTTGTACCTCAACTGTTACTTTTGTTATGTTTTGGTTACACACCTATTATATATTTTTTTCAAAACTATATCTACCGTTATATTTTAGTTTTGTTTTGGTCATCCAATTTTAAAATGTTCATGACACAATTGATATGACAATTTTAATTATTTTTTAATTTTAAAATTATTATTTTATTATTCATTAATTAATTTTATTCAACTAATAAGGTAGTTAAATATTTCAGAATATATTTAGATAACATATTCTTTTGAAGTCATCAATTTTGAACGTAGTGGGGTTGTTCTAATCTTTACTAAGTGTAATTGACTCGTGTACCTAACTATAATCTCAGTGCTGACTCAGATTAAATTTTAAAGTTGTTTAGCTATATCTAGTGAAAATGATTGATGATGGCTCTAATCACATGATGAATTCTTTTATTTTAAATTGATTCTTAAATTTTTAAATATTTTAATTTTATCCTAAAACTATGACTTTTAATTTAAATTGATCCTTAAATTTTTGAATATTCTAAATTCATCCTCAAACTATGATACTCAGTTTAAATTAGTGATCAAAATTTTGAACATTTTAACAACTTCGCTTAAATCACTTAAAAGTTTGGGTTTGAAATTAAAACATTCAAAAGTTTGAGGATTAATATAGAATGAGGGTCATAGTTTAGGGATGCACTTATAATGCTCAAAAGTTAAGGGCTGATTTAGAATGAGAATCATAGTTTAGGGATGAAATTGTAATGCCCAAAAATTTGAGGAACAATTTAAGATGAGGCCATAGTTTGAGGATGTTTAGTGCAATTAACTCTAGTTTTTTTAATAAAATAATTAAGATGGGAAATTGTGTCTTTATCCCATAAATTACTGGACTTCCGCTTTGGACTTCATTTTGATCTTATTCTAGTCTTCACTTTCCGCAAAGCCCATGGAAAAGATCAAAGAAGGGTTTGAAGGCATTCCCAGAATTGAAATTAGAACCTCTTCCACTGTGCGCTATAATCATCTTGAGAATGTCAAAGTTTTCATTTTTTTTATGTTTAATACATGTTCGTTCATCGGCAAGTGTAATATGTGATACGTCATAGGGTCTTAAAATCTGGAGGCCTCACATTTTAAAAAATATATTGATTTTGTTTATAAGCGTTCAAATTATGATGTTTTTTTAAAAATGTAACGATTATAGAGATATTTTGTGACCTTAGTTTCATATGTTTGATTATAAAAAACAATCGTAATATGGTAAATTTTGATATTTTACAATTTCGTTTTATTATAAAATATTTAGGGATTTCATTTTAAAATGTAGCACAGGACCTCCAAATCTATTGAGGTTTAATATAGTTAGTTTTTAATTATTCAAGATCTTTATAAACTTTGATGATTGTATCCAAATATAAACTTTGATTTATTTTGCAACTCATTATTTTTAATATTGTCATAGAACAATTATTTTTTTGAAAGATGACTTTAAACTATATTCCTCTTGACAAGTGAGGATATTAATAAGAAAAGGAAGTGGACAATGGCGGAATATAATGGTGACTAGTGGAGGTCGTGACTCCCAAACTCTATCATTAAATTTCACCACTAAAAGTGGGACATTCCAATAACAATGTCTAGTAATGAAGCTAGTGTATACAATTTTAGATTTAGATATGCAGGTTCTACAACAAACTTCATAGCAATAGAATTGTACCATCAAGTAGCATATTCTCTAGGACAATTAGGCACCTATGTAGAAATTTATTACAAAATAACCTTTTTGTATGCTTTGCACACCAATATCGACTGGTTAATGTCTAATGTTTCCAGATGCTACAATATTACAGGTCAGGCAATAGCTTGTCCACCTTGGATATTAACATTTTTTTATATACATTATTTAGAACTAATTAAGATGAAGCTAAATTTTTTATGGGTAAACTACCCAAATGACCACTAACTATGGGTTGATGTCGATATGATCACCATACTTTTAATTTTGATAATATGATCATATAACTATTTAAGTAGTTTCAGTGTAGTCGTTAAATTTTAGGGTAAACTATTCAAATGACCACTTAAGTATTGGGTTGGTGTCGATATGACCATCTCACCATCATACTTCCAATTTTGGAGATATGACCATATATCCATTTGAGAGTGGTTTCAACCAAATTACCTGCCGTTAAAATCTAACAGAGCAACTGACGTGGCAGTTAATAAAATTAGTATTATTAAACATTTAGTCCTCATAACTTATATATTCTATCAATTTGGTCTTAATTTTAAATTAAATTAATAAATTTAATCCTCTAATCAGATTAAAGTTCATTATCTGCAAGATTAAAGTTCATTATCTGCAAGATTAATCATTTTTTTTATTAAAGTTCATATTCTTTTTGGGGGAAAAACTTCATTAATTGAGTGTTTTTTTATTGATGATTATTCATGGTTTTTGACAGATGGTTTTCTTGAGCTGGGTTTGACCTCCTGAACAACAAGAAATCTTGCATTAACAAGTACAAAAGCATATTACTTGTTGATTTCTAAATTTAAGCTAGGCATATTTTCTTTGTTTCTGGAGGGGAATTTGCCCCTTTTGATATGTATGTTATCACCAGGTCTGGCACACATCATAGAACTAAAAATATCAAGCTCACACATCATAGATCCAAAAACACAAGGGACCATGTGTAAAATTTACCATATAAAATATCAAGCTCGCACATCATAGGATTCCAAATATTTAAAAGTAAAAAACTAAAAATAAACAGTAAAAAGAATAAGCAAAATAAAATGAAAAACATTGCATAGAACTATGTATGTTTTCTTTTCTTTTCTTTTGAATAGTTTTCTCTCGTTCAACCAAAATATAAGAAAAAAAGAGATTACAAATTTCTCTTTATTGTTCAGTAAAATTCTTCACCGATTCACTCACAGTAATTCACATGCAAAGAATCTCCAATAAGCTTTCGTTGATGAACATCATTGGACGTAGTATTATGACAGTCTCAAGATCCAACCAAATTCTTGAACCGAGCATACGCCATTATCAGTACAAACAGAATTGCAGAAATTACCCCCGAGACGATGACCACCTATCATCACAAACACGAGATAAAACGAACAAATGATCATTCACGGATGCGGAGTCGACTAAAATTGATATAATAATAGTTTGACACATGAAACACTTTGCTTACCCATTTAAACATGCATCCATGGTTATCGTTCCATGTATATGGAAAGATTGCAGCCACCAAAGAATAGAAGGATAAACACACGGTTCCCGAACTTAGAAACAGTTCTAACTGCAAAATTTTAGGATCCCTTCAATTGTTACAATGTCAAGGCTACTTAGAAAGAGCTCTAACTGCTAAATTAATATCACTTGAATACTTTATAGAAAGTAGATTGACAGACCTGGATTAGCTGGTTTCGATGGTTGTCAAGCTGCAAAATGAAATAAGCTCAACTCATCCGGGAAAATCATAGTACATAGTAAATATGGGTTTACCTGAATATTGATGTAATCCTCTGTATCATCAATGTATTCCCGCAACTGCGTAATTACAAGTAAAGCAGCAAAAATGTTAGAAATTTAGATTTTGGAAAAAATAAAAAAAGGTCCAAACCAATCCATCCATGGATTTCTTAATAACGGAAAACAAGCTAAATATAAGAAGAAAAAAAGGGTCCAAGGTGAAGAGTACCATCGTTAATTAGTTCAATGTTCCATCAATTTGCATAAAGTAGGCCCGCAAAACAAATTGTTACCAACTTAAGCCTTTTTGGTAGACAAGTCTTTAACACAAGAGGTAAATCATTATTTCAACCTCTAGTAACATTTCAAGCTCCTCCACATCATTTTCATCTCCACGAACTGTTGCTACACTTGCTCTGGAAAATTTTGATCCTACCAGATCCACAAACAGGTGAAGATCCAGCCAACTTTCTCGACAAATAAAGGTCAGCCATATCATCATCATCGTCATCCAGTAATTGTTCAAGTTCATCCCTCACCAACAAAATTGATGATTAGAACATCATTCCTCGCCACTTAATGTAACTATTAAAACAATATGTTTACACTTTCAGGTTCCATTATAATCTGGGCAGTCTCCATCTGAAATATGCAAGAAACTTAATGGACTATTTCGATGATAGGCGTTAAGACTTTCAGGAATATGACATCAGTAAAAGAGTGAACCCTAGAAATGGACAATGGTGTTTACCTCAAATGCTTCATGTTCTATATATAAGAGTTTCTATGCCCTGATACTAATCTTTCTAAAAAAGTCCGGACATTTTCACCAATCCATATGGTAAACAATAAAAAACAGTGGTTTTAGGTAAGGAGCTAATGATGTTGACCGTAGCTGAACTCATCAATCCCTTAGAAAGATACATTGACAGTCCATCTAATAATCAGCCTTTCTCGAATGTGAAAAGCTCAAAATGAATTACAAAATATAACAGTAGTTGTAGTGTAAAGATAGAATATGATAAAATAAAAGTTTCACATAGACATATCAGCATGAATGAAGTTGTACCTTTTGTACCCGAGCAGTCAATCTGGTCATTCCGCTCTTCAATTTACGAACTCTATCCAAATTACGACTACTAATCTGCATACAGCGTATATAAAAAACTAGAATACAGAATGAACAGAACCCAGAAGAAATACGGGCAGAAAATAAAGCTATTCAAAATTTGTAAAATATAAGGTAAATGTGAAACAACAATTACCTGGGAGGTCAGCTCGTCTAAAGCAGGATAAGCCGCAGTCTCTAGTTCTAGTGTTCGTGCTACTAGAAAACTACAAATAGATTCCAAAGCAACCTCCAACGCTCGGAATTCAAATGGAGATTCTGCATGGCATGTACCGGATTGTTTAGACGTCAAAAA